AACGTTAAAACGATTCTGTTTTTAGTGAATCGTTCTTGTGTAAACGCCTCCTCACACTCCATCTTCCATAACACCCACAGCTGAGTGAGTTTGTTAAATACTGCAGCAAGCTTTAGGACAAACTCCCCTCACTCCCACAGACACAGAAACTTTATGTTTTTTATATCACTCTAATAAAAAGTTGTCCCCATAATTACTGAACCATTAAAATCACTGCATAATATGAGACGCCTACATATCTGGTGTGTCAGCACAGCAGCAGTTTCAGAAGCTAAAAACACGCGTTCAGGGCGAGGCCGGCTGTTGGGGATCAAACCTGTGACGTCCTTGGTATGAGACGGTTTCCTCACCTTCCTGATTTTTCCAGGTGGACTGAAACGACGCGAGCAGAAGAAGAAGGGAGGAATGTGTCGTAAAAGTGAGAAGCCTCAAACTGTCGACGTGTCTTAATGTATGAAAAACCTCTGATATTTTTATATAGTGTGTGATGACACGAGTATTACATGTGGAGAGTTTCATTTCACCGTCACAAATCAACTCAGGGTGGTTTCACATTAGGGACCCCGGTCCGGATCCGAGAACACTAGACCCCGAAGTCTGAACATAAACGTACCGTACTCGGGTACCGTGGCCGAGTCCGCTTGTAGAGGTGGTCTCAGGCATGATTCATGTGTGCTCGAGTACGGTCAGCGATGTGAACGCAACCGTGCAAAATTCAAGAAGTGGACCGCTTTATGATGTAATTGTAAACCGATCCTGTCGCTTCAAAAACCATCTTTCATCCTCTGAGCTGCACGGCAGACGTGGATGTAGGAAGAGGGTCGTTGTTGCCGTCTCAGAAATCACAAAAACATCCACAGTTAGCAGGATGGACTCATCACCGCGAGTGGTTGCCATGGTTACTTCTTTTTTTTCTGCTTTTTGGCGGATTTGCAAACTAACTATGTGCATACTGCCCCCTGCTGTATCGAATGTGTACATACAGAAGTGTACTCGGGTCAGAACAATGTTACTAATGTGACCGCAGAGCAGCGGGGAGGGAGGGGGAGCAATGGTGCCTAATGTGAAAACGCCCTCAGTCCGTCCATCCACAGTGTGCATTCTTTTTGACCATGTTGTGCTGTCAGTTGTTTTGTAAAATCACTCTAAACATTCTTCTTTGTTGTTTTAACTCGTGTTGCACTTCCCCTCTGGTGCCATTTTGCATCCCTGCATCAGGCTTAGCGTTAGCTGAACGTTAGCTTCAGTTCTGGCGGGGATTCAGAGAATGAGCCGTGTGTTTTCACCGGGGATCAAACCAGCAGTGTTTGTCTGTTTGTACCGACCTGTAGTGGCCTGAATAAAAGTTCTGTGCAGAGCTCTGTGTGTGTCTGTTTTCTGATATGACTGAAATGGAAAAATCTGATGTGTTTTGTTGCTTTTCAGAAAGTCAGAGGATGTTCACCTCGTCAACAGGATTAACATTTCACTCTCTAAAAGGTTTAAAAAGTACACTTTGGACCTTTAAATCCAGAAAGAGAAGTCTTATACACAAGTTTCTCAAATTCTAAATCAAACTAATAAACCTGTAGGTTGACATTGATAATTATCAGTATCAACTTAAAGGTCCAGTCAATGAGATGTGTAGAGAGTGAGATGATAAAGGTATCTTACTCTCTGATCATTAAGGAAACATGCTATGTTGAAGTGCTGGCTTCTCTGACAACAATGCAGCAGCCAGTATGTCCTCCTTCTAACTTTAGATTCTGCTCCTGAATGCTCTGGATTTGTTTGGACCAGAGAAGGTAGGCGGCGGTTTTAAGGCGACCACCCCACACAGCTGTTTTGGACGCCCCTCGGTTTGTCAGATATGAGAGCAGTTATCAGGTCAACATTGTACCCGACTTAAAAAGCCTCTGCATGTTTCTAATAAGCTCCACGAGCAGAAACGTGCTCAAACTAGGATCAATATTGGAGATGCTTTTGAAAAATGGAGAGAGGTTAGAACACAGAAAGGTTTACAGACCCATGCAGAGCTGGATAAACACTGAAGCTTCAGAGTCCACCACATGGTGACCTGTGTGAGCATCCACTCTAGAGGGGGGGGGACAGCTCTGTTTAGAATTTAGACTGCAGTACCCATTTTAAACACCAGGTGTCAGAGTTATTCATCACTCCTTTAAAGTTTATTGAAATTAAATTCAGAAAAATAAACAAATAGAAATAACTTTTTGTTTACATCTAAAGGAAGTTCAGTTCAGTACAGTTAACTACAGTAGTGTTAGAAGAAAAAAATAATGAAAAATACAAGACAATGATCCTTTTAAGTTTATTATTAAAAAAACAATACACAGGTACACAGAGCAGGAATACAAATCCAAATTGCTTTGCAAAGGGAAACGACATAACAGCATCAACAGAAAGAAAAGACAGACACATAGGCAACACAAATTAAGAAAGCTGCAACAGGAATGCAAATGTTTGAATTTCGTTGGGTTTATATGAAAGTCTGAGGAAGAGCATGCTGCCTCCAAACATCACTTATCAATAAATCCTTCAAACGGGAGCTTTTCGTTGTGCCAGTCTTTTTTGATTTTCCTTACTTCCCTGTCGGCTGTGTGTGGAGCCATGTTGAAGTGTTTGTATTCGTGTTGTTGCTATTTGTGTTGTGGTGTTTGTGTCTGTCTTCTCATTGTTGGGTGTGTCGTGCCCTTTTGCAAAGCCTTATCACAGATATGTGTTCCTCTGACAGGAAGCAGTGACTTCCAAAAACAAGTTCATCAACGTTTGTTATGGACAAAAATGATTAAACGAGGCAGATGAATGGAGAATGTTTCTTTAAAAACAAACATTTATGTTACAATATAAAACTTAGCAGTTTTCCTTTTTTAAAAACATGTCGTTCACATTTTAGGGAAGTGTTTGTCAGAGAAAAAATATTTTGGCTGTTAAACTTTATATTTATTAATGCTTTGAATATTAATGTACTCACAATAAAGAATACTTTGATGGCTTCATGAGCCAAGCCAAGTCAGTTCATGTATTTATTTTCTGTTACCATTTAACTCTTTTTTTGTGATTAATTTTTTTTTTAGAAATGAACAAAGAAATAACATCATATATTACAACTGTTTTCCCCTTTATATACATGTATAAAAGTGCATATGTGCAAACATCAGGATCAAACAAACTTCTTTTCTGAAGAAAGAACCAAACTGACTTGAGGGAAATTGTCTCTTTAGTGAGGAGGAAATGTCTTTGATGGTTCGCCTTTCATCTTCTGTTACAACCTTTCAGAATAATAATTTTAACCACAGCTTTATTTAAATGAAATAACACATTTTTATACATCTCGTAAATTAACGACTTTATTCTGGATAATTTACAATTTTAATATTGTAATATTTATTATTATGTTTTCTTTAACCTGACCTTAATATTCTGTTGTATAAACTGGTTCCAGATGTTCTTTAACATTATTGACAGAAAGCTGTTTAATCCTTTTTGCTTCCTTAATCCTTTCTTTTGTATGGATAAAAACATTTTGGCAAAGTTCGGTTGTTTGCAGATGATGTGCTGTTATACATTTAATACTAAATATGTGATTAACGTTATGCTAGAAAATAGAAACCTTACATCAACAGTATTAAAAAATGTGACTGATCAGTTACCCTGCAGAAAGTCCTCTGAATAACAGATTACTTGAAATGGCGTCATCTGTTATAAGACCAATGGTTTAGTTAATCTGTAAACTGGATTAATGGATTAAAATATTTCCCTTATCTGAACAACATATGCAGTAAATGGCCGATATTGTGACACACCTTATTATTTATAACAGCACTACTACCACCTGATGTCCTTGATGCCCAGCCACCACCATCGGACTGTGTCGTCCCCACGACCACCGCCGTCCTCATTCATGCACGGCCTGCTCCGACCTCCACTTCAGCGGCGAGGAAGTGTGGACAACAGGAACGAGAGGAATACAAAGGCGAAATCCTTCCTGCATCAAGACTCAGCAAGGTTTTCTTTATAATTTGAGTTGAAATGCTGTCCACTGGGGTGCCGGTCTAGTGGCCCCATGTTCATTTTTTTTTTGTTTATTATCTTAAATTAGTTTGTATTGTGTTTGTTTATCTTTGTTTTCTGTAAAGTATATTGAGTTTACATGTGTGTGAAATGTGCTATACAAATAAAATGTAATTTGATTTAATATACAGAGGCCGTAGTCCTTCAAGCAGGCGGCCAGGGTTCAAATCCGACCTGTGGCTCCTTTCCCGCATGTCACTCCACACTCTCTCTCCAGTCCTATCTCTACATAAAGGCTAAAAAAGCAGCCACAAAAAAAATGCTGTGCACTGTCCTTTCCAAGCCTCTTGTATATTACACTCCCTCTGTTTGTGTCCGTAATCCCTCCAGCGTGTTCTGGGTCTGCCCCGGGGTCTCCTCCTAGTTGGGCATGCCTGGACCACTCGTGAACAAGACCCAGAGATACTTGAACTCCTTCACCTAGGGAAAAGACTCACTCCCCACCCGGAGAGAGCGATCCACTGTTTTCCAGCAGATTATAAACAATGACAAGAAAAAATACTTAACCTTTCAAAATGCAAAAAAAAAGATGGACTTGTCATTCTTTGCTTTCTTGTGTAAATTCCTCAATCAGTCTTTTCATTGGTTGGTTATTTCACCTGGCACAGCTTCACAGACGAGTCCTTTCCCCACACTCTAAAGATTGGGTAGAGAGGCTCTGTGAATTCTGTGGAGAAGGTGTGCAGGTGTGTCAGCGACCTTTTAGAAGAAACTCTGTAGAAGGACAGCATGCCTGCCTTCCAGTCCAGATAAACAGCCAGTCCACGACAACCGGCCAAAGGAACACCAACGACGATACTCTCGAAGTTATGGTAAGCGCGGTAGCCTTTACTAGAGCAGTGCAGACTCCAGGACTGTTTGTTGTACCCCATCAGACAGTTGTTGTCCTGCCCTTTGTGTTTCATGTTCTCGTAGGCCACTCCGATGCCAACCCATTTTCCTTCCCACTCCACCTCCCAGTAACAACGGTTCTTAAGGCCCTCCTTGCACAGGACTTGGGGCCAGTAGTCAAACCGGTCAGAGTGATCTGGATATGGCTGCTCCTTACTGGCTTGGCTAACTTTACGGTCTTCATCAGAGAGGACCAGACTTTTATGAGCAGTATTAAGATCGATCGTAAGCTCACATACATCTGGTAAAAAGAAGAAATAAAGGAGTAAGAAATGTATAAAGGCAACCACAGAGTACACTAGCTTCTGATTGATGATAGGCAGGGTCCGAAATTAACACCCACCAAGTGCCAAATGCGGGTCGATTTTCAGTTTGGCGAGTACTTTTCAGAGGGCTATCCGCCACAGGGCGGGTAAATGTTTTATCAAAAAGTCATAAAAAACTATGCTATGAGTATTCAGCACGTTTGATGTAGCCTAGCTACTTTTCCCTGCTCCTCTCTCTGCTGTCATGTCTGCGAGCATCATGGGGCACGCTGAGACACACACACATACAACGGAACGTGTATGCGCAAACGTGCGCACACACACACACACACCCACACCCACATCAACACATAGGTCTGTTCTAAATATTCTCTAGCTTTCGCCCAAAAAACACAACTTACATTTTCTCAGTCCTGGTTTAAACCAGTGCTCTGCTCTGTGATCCACTCTGTGGAGAAGAAAAACATAGTGTAAGCCTGGGTTATGTTACAGTCACACCAAAACGTGTTAAAAATATTAGGATTATTCTTCACCTGAGTTTGTTTAATTCACATCGTCCCTCCTCAAGAGCGTCACAAATGTGCCTCACTCCTGATTCTCCGAGGTGATTGTAGCTCAGGTCCAGCTCGCTCCAGTTGGATGGGTTGGACTTCACTGCTGAGGCCAAGAAACTGCATCCTTTTTCCGTGATGTTACAGAATGACAACCTGTGACACAAGGAAAAAACTCACTCTTAAGTGGAACTCTTCATAACTATTGAAACACACTTTAACTGTTTTGTTCAAGGGGTACCTGAAGGTTTCAAGTTTACAGCCAACATTTCCCAGTCCTTTAGAGAGCAGCTCTACTCCTGAGTCTTCAATGTTGTTGTCACTCAGGTCCAGCTCTCTCAGATCTGAAGTGGGACGGCCCAGGACTAAAGCCAACTCTTTGCAGCATGACTTTGTCAGATCACATCGGTTTAGCCTGAAGTGACAGAGAATGGGAAAGAACAAAGAGCATTTAGATTTTGGTTTATAGTTTGAGTTCAATTGCGTTATTGAGCAGGAAATAGCAGAGAAACTGTAAACAATTACTACAAGCTACGCAAAAAAAAAAAAAAAAAAACATGCCACAGCTTCCATGGGTCATATTGTCATCAAACAAATCGATTTAGAGATTGCTTAAAGGCTAAATCTAACAGCTCAAGAATGGATAAAATTCTAAACTGCAACATTTTCTTGCCTGAAGAAGCCAAAGGAACCATATCATCTGCAAAGAGCAGAGATGAAGTTCTGAGGCCCAAGTTCCAAACACATCTCCCCCATACAGAGACTGGATGGCTCGCAGTAACGGCCCAGATACCCCATTAGTTCTTCAGTACCCCCACATGACCCCCCAAGTGACACAATCATAGGCCTTCTACAGGTCCACAAAAAACATATAGACTGGATGAGCATACACCCATACTCCCCCAAGAAGCCATGCAACTGTAAAGAACGGGTCCACTGTCCAACAGCCAAGATGAAATCAACATATTTCTTCCTGTATCTGAGGTTGAAAATGGTCTGCAGCCTCCTTTCAAGCACCCTAGAATAAACTTCCTCAGGAGGCTGAGGGGTGTGATACCCTGGCAGGTCTGCCTGCACTATCCCAGACCTCCATGTGACACTAAAGAGGCATTTCAGCCAAGTCAGCAGTGACTCACCTCAGTGTCTTCAGTCTGCAGTTTGGGCTCTGGAGTCCTGTGCAGAGACGCTTGATTCCTAAGTCTTGTAATTTGTTGTCACTTAAATTCAAATGATTAAGTTCATTTGAGCTTGAGCTTAGAATGGAGGCCAGATCCTGGCAGCAGTCTGCAGTAAGATTACAATCATTCAACCTAACAAACAAAAAGACAAAGTTTAAACATCTTTGATATACTGGCTCAACATATCTGGTCATTGAAAATGAATAAGAAAGAAAACATGCAAGACACTTGCTTTGCTGATCTGCATGCTTTGATGGCTGGAAGGAGCTTCTTAAGACCCTCTTGTTTTCTGGAGTATTTCTTCAGGGTGATCTCTTCTGGCTTCTCCGGTGAGGTCAGCAACAGAAAGACCAGAGCTGCCCACTGAGCTGCAGACCACTTGTTTGTGTCCATGTCTCGGTCTGAATCCAGGTGGTTCTGGATCTCCTCCACCAGAGAGTGGTCGTTTAGCTCATTCAGACAGTGCAAGAGATTGATGTACCTCTCTGGTTCAGAGAGATTTATTTTCTCCTTGATGTACTTGATGGTTTCCTCATGACTTTTGGGGTCCAAGGGTTCTACCTGAATCTTCAGGTCTTTGAGCAGAATATGATTGGACTCCAAGGAGAGTCCAAGGAGGAAACGCAGGAAGAGATCCAGGTGGCCTTTGTCACTCTCTAAGGCTTTGTTCACTGCAGCTTTGTGCAATTCAGATATCGGTTTGATTTTGATCTGGTTTTTGTCCATAAGGTTTACACTGTTGACTGTGTACATGACATGGACGTACAGAGCAGCGAGAAACTCTTGGACAGACAGGTGCACAAAACAGAACACTTTAGTCTGCATACAGGACTCTTCCCGGAAGACTTGAGTGCACACTCCGGAGTAGACACATGCTTCATCAACATCAATACCACAACCTCTAAGATCTTCCTCGTAGAAGATCAGGTTTCCTTTCTCCAGCTGGTCAAAGGCTAACTTTCCAAGTGACATTACCATCTTGTTATTCCCTTGAGGGTCCAGCTTTTGCTCTTTGTGGTACTTGACATAAATCTGTGCAGTTTGATGGGCCAGAAAGTGGATGTACATTTGAGTCAAGGTCTTTGGCATTTTTCCTCCTCCTACTTGTGCACAAATTTCCCCTAGGACAATAGAGGAAATCCAGCAAAACACTGGCACATGGCACATGATGTACAGACTTCTTGTTGACTTAATGTTTGCGATAACTCTTTTGGCCAAGTTTTCATCGTCAATTTTCTTGAGGAAGTAGTCCTCCTTCTGATGTCTGTTGAAACCTCGTATCTCAGTCAAGCGGTCGACATACCGTCCAGGGATGCAGCTCGCTGCAGCAGGACGGGTAGTTATCCACAGATAAGCTTGTGGAAGCAGGTGACCTGCAATAAGGTTTGTCAGCAACACCTGAACTGAGGCCGACTGTGATGAATCACAACAGTTCTCAGATTTATTGAAATCCAGAGGGAGTCTGCACTCATCAAGACCATCCAGTACAATCAGAACTTTGCACTGAGTCAGGTCTGTGATTCCAGATTCTTTCAGGCCTGGAGAGAAGTCATACAGGAGCTCCATCAAACTTCTTGTTTTATTTTTCAACAAATTCAGCTCCCTAAAAGGAAGTGAAAACAAGAGTTGGATGTCTTGATTGGCCTTCTCTGTTGACCAGTCCAACATGAACTTCTGTGTCAACACAGTTTTGCCGATGCCTGCTATCCCCTTGGTGAGCACAGTTCTGATTGGTTTGGCCGGTTGGTTTGGTAAGGGCTTGAAGACGTTCTCACACCTGATCTTTATTTCAAAAGATTTCCGTTTGTTGAATGCTGCTTCAATTTGTCTGACTTCATGTTCGCGGTTGACATCTACACTGTCTCCTTCTATCAGATAGATCTCTGTATAAATCTTTTGAAGAGGCACCGGCCACTTCTGCGTATTTTCCAGTAGGCACTCATTTTTCTTCTTCAGGTCAGGTTTAAGTATCTTTTGGTACATTGCAGTTACCCCATAATGACCTAACAACAGGAAATAAGAAAAATCAAAGACAGAAGAATTATCCCATCTGCTATTCATTCTTATTTTCTTGTAGTTGAAAATTGTTTATATTCATGGGTGTCACCAATTAAACTGTTAGAGTTTAGTTATTCATTGACTAAATGATTAGGCTATGCTAAAAGTCTTTACCGCTGAATTAGCTAAGTCTGAACATTGTCTCAGAAGTTTGTTTTGCTTATTGTGACATTTCACAACAAGCATTGATTAAAAATATGTTGAAATAGTTCAAATAGAAGTTTAAAGCTGTCTCAAATTAGTGGGACACAATGTAATAAAGTTATGGAACAGTTACAGCCAGATCTCGAACCCAATCATGAAACAGGAAGCTAACACGCAGGCTCTTACTTTGCTCGAGTGTGTGGGCATATTCATCCTGCTTCATGGTCCTCAGAACATGCAGGGCAATCTTCATAGCAGCTTCCTTAGTTTCATCATCAATCTCATGCTGTTGATCATATTCGTCCTCTTGCTTCTCCTTAAACAATTCTTCATGTGTTCTCAGAGCTTGCTTTAAGAAGTCTATGCTCTTAGATTCAAAGACCTGTTCGAGCACACAGTTTCTGAAAAGTGGAGCAGGTAAAAGACGGAGAGGATGGATTTTTTTCATCATTGGGGGGTTTGTTAACAGAGTAGAGACACATATTAGTGTTAGAGAAAGTGGATTTTAGATAATATGTGACCTTTAAGAATGTGTAAATCTTAAGATTATTATTGTTATAATGTTATTTATAGAGTCATGATATTTAACATTTGTCTATGGATTTTAAAATTATATAATTTGCCATTATACTGTTCATTATATCTCTTTGTATGCTGATGATAGTCAGATATTTTACTGAGGAGAGGTAAACTACATTAAACCTCAGAGTGTTCAGATGTTCATGTCAGTTCTGGGAAATGTTCCAAATTTTAATACTAAAACGTTAAGTAAATACAATGACGGTCATGCTGTTGTCCTGGAGGTCGGTACCTATTTTAAACACTAGGTGTCACAGTTACATATCAATCCTTTAAGTATAGACTCATTTATATATACTTACTTTTTTATGAAGGGTTCATCACTGAATTCTGGCGGATAATCTTTGGAGTGGTGACTCTTCTCAGAAACAAAACTGGCGGTAGAAGATGTTGATTCTCCTGGAGGTTTCATCATCTTCCTGATTTTAGGAACTCTAAGAGAATAATGATCATGTAGAGATGTTCAAGCAGCACTGAAAGCATCCACGATCTGATTCATGAGGAATATTCATCCAAACAGGTTCTATAAACTGATATTTTATGCTGATTATTTTATTGTGCATTGCATTATGTTATTATCATAAAGTGTAGACTGGGAAAATCGTCTAGTGTGTAGCTGTTGCTTTAGAGACACTTTTCTATTCTTCCAAAAGGTTTCATGAAAGGTGACTCAATATAACTTTGACTATTAATAAAGTTTTCGTTGACTTACTTTGGCTGGACGGGTTGATTGCTGAATTCTGGAGGATAATCTTTGGAGTGATCCGTCCTCCGAGACACAAAGCTGTATGTTGATAACTCCTCAGATGTCCTGACAATTATTATAAAGGATTTAAGTTTAATGTTTTCAGACATTAAGAAAAATTCATCAACAGCCTCCTCTTTCTTTATGACACACATCATCTTGAGAATTTAAGACTGATCATTGTACCTCTTTCTTTTTCTTGGTGGTTTGAATTCTGGAGGATAATCTTTGGAGTGTCGACTTGTCACAGAAACAGAACTGGGTGCTGAAGATCCACACTCACTCATCTTTATATCGTTGGTGATTCTAAAATGAATGTCAGTGACATTAATGCACAAAAAGGAAATATATCACACAGCCAGCAGGTGTCACTGTTAGCCAATCCGGTGTGGTGAGCACTTCAAGCCTAAGAAATGTTCTAATCTGTTGATTACATATTCTCCTCTTCTTCAGTGTAAATAAGACTCAGAGCTCCTCAAAACGTGTGTGTGAAGTTTCTTTTTTTAAACCACTCTGATCCTGTATTTGATCATGTCTATAAACCCCTCTATTTCAGCCCTGCTCAGAACAGGCTGTTTCTGTGTCTGTACCTTTAAATATGTAAATGAGCTGTGTCTGACCACGCCCGCTCTCTGGAAGGGCTTGGGTGTACTCGGTGCTTTCTCGCTCCATGTCCTATTGTTTAAGGTGAGAAGGCAGACTCAACAAACACCTAGCTGTGGGAGTGTCACACACCTGGGGAAGGGGCTACTGCCCTTTGTGATGTCATGAAGGGAAAATCTCCAAACGGCCTGTTTGAGCACACATTTTCTGAAAAGTGGAGCAGGGAGAAGACGGAGAGGATGGACTTTTCTTATCATTGGGGGGTTTATAGACAGACTAGAGACACTTGTTAGAGTTAGAGGAAAATGGGGAAGAGGATTTTGTATAATATGTGACCTTTAAAACCTGAAGACTCTCGATTCACCATAATAAATGAAAAAACGCAGCAGTTTGTAAAAACCAGAACTAGCTGTTCTTGAACATTTCTGCATGTAAACGGCCTCAATGATTTATTTATTATCTATCTGTCAGCGATTTCCTTTAAATAGATTCATTTCTGTTTCGATGTAACTGAGAGCTTTATTAAAATACTGATTTTCAACATCAGTCAGTATTCATGAATTTAATCAAGAGTAATACAAACTACTGAAGCAACAAGCTGAGAATGCAATATTGTTCAGCAATATGAGAAGAAAAAGTGAACACTGGACTTACAGTAATGAGACAGAAACGGGAGAAGAGGACGAGGGTGATGCTCTACGTCTGCTGTAGGGGTAACAAGAATCTCCTGCAGAGTGTCGACAAACAGCAGAAAGTTATTGTTTGTTTTTCATCATTACTCCATCTTTTCTTTAATCTTCCTCTGAACCTGATGATCCTACCTGTTGTTCTTTCACCTTGTCCGGCTCGATGGGTTTGGCCTTTTCTTTTCTCTGTGCAAACACAAACATAAATACCTGAGACGAACACCTTTACCAACATCTGAATCTGCTCGCCAAAGAACCCCGTCCAAACAGTCAGAGACAATCATCCTGCTCGACTGGAAATCATACACCGCGCCCTGCTTTCAAAACCACTGCTGTTGTAGCCAAGCCCACACTAACCGAGACCAAGACATACCCAAGACCAGAGTGCTCCAAGACCAAGACCAAGACCAAGACATTTAGGGATCGAGACCGAGACATTTAGGGGTCGACACATTTAGGGATCGACACCAAGACATTTAGGGATCGAGACCGAGACATTTAGGGATTGAGACCGAGACATTTAGGGATTGAGACCGAGACATTTAGGGATTGAGACCGAGACATTTAGGGATTGAGACCAGGACATTTAGGGATCGAGACCAAGACCAAGACATTTAGGGATCAAGACCAAGACATTTAGGGATCGAAACCAAGACCAAGACATTTAGGGATCAAGACCAAGACATTTAGGAATCAAGACCGAGACATTTAGGGATCGAAACCAAGACCAAGACATTTAGGGATCGAGACCGAGACATTTAGGGATCGAGACCGAGACATTTAGGGATCGAGACCGAGACATTTAGGGATCGAGACCGAGACATTTAGGGATTGAGACATTTAGGGATCGAAACCAAGACCAGGACATTTAGGGATCGAGACCAAGACATACCCGAGACCAGAGTGCTCGAGACCAAGACATTTAGGGATCGAGACATTTAGGGATCGAAACCAAGACCAAGACATTTAGGGATCAAGACCAAGACATTTAGGAATCAAGACCAAGACATTTAGGGATCGAAACCAAGACCAAGACATTTAGGGATCGAGACATTTAGGGATCGAAACCAAGACCAAGACATTTAGGGATCGAGACCGAGACATTTAGGGGTCGACACATTTAGGGATCGAGACCAAGACATTTAGGGATCATCTGTGAATCAGGAACAAACACAGGAAGCAGGAGAAACATTCGTGTCCTAAAAGTGCTCGAATAACAGCGAGTATGAAACTTACTTTAGTGAAGTCTGCAGAAAGACTTGTCATGCTGCGGCTGAGAAACAGTTTTCAGACCTGCAGAAGGTAGTGAGAAACAGACGGTCAGGAATGACACTTCCATATTTGACTTCTGTTTTTTCAATCTGAAAAGAGAAGTGAGCTCATGAGCAGGATGTTTATTATTGATGGACGAGGTCGGCCATGCAGAGAATGATGAAGACGCTCAGACTTCAGTTTGAGTGATGAGTCCTGATCGCTGCGTTAAAAGATGTTGACACTGTAAATGTGATCATGTTAGCATTCGGGTCCGAGCTGGCTGTGATGAGGAGGACGAGGAGGTGATGAAGAGGTGTTTTTTAAAAAGAGGAGGGATCACAGAGTAGAGGCGTGAGGGACAGATTCTGTGTGAGCATAAAAACAACATGTATGAAGAGAATTTGAGCCACATGGGAAAAATGTTTCTGAGCTCTGACTCAACTTGAGACGTCAGAATTTGAAGTGTTTTATTTAAACAGCTCTCATTTTCATTAGATTAAGAACGTCAAGGTGCAGGAGTTTGCCTTGAAACAGGTATCGATATCCTATCGAGTTTTATAACTCTGGCAAGGCTTAACAAAAAACAATGAAGTTGTTTCTCACGGTTATCTAAACATGACAGATTTAGTGATGGGACTTCCTCTGGGTTTGTTTTTACAGCCTCACTTTAACCACTTCATTTTTTCTAAAAGTGGCTCGTTGTTTTTTTCAGCTCGCTGTCTCACACTGAAGTCGCTTTCTGCACTTCTTGCAGCCAATGTTTGAGATGAATTCTAAAAATATAGAAAATGTATTTGCAAAGAGCGTGAGGGTCAGGGTGGTGGGTGGAGGGGGGCGGGGCTATTTTAATTTGGCAGAATAAGTCTGGGAACCACTTGAAGCATCGATCAGTTAGAACACAGAAAGGTTTACAGACCCATGCAGAGCTGGATAAACACTGAAGCTTCAGAGTCCACCACATGGTGACCTGAGTGAGCATCCACTCTAGAGAGGAGGGGGGGGGGACAGCTCTCTGCAATGTTCAGAATTTAGACTGCAGTACCCATTTTAAACACTAGGTGTCAGAAATACAGATTGCTCCTTTAAAAAAAAGATTTTGAAGTCATAATTTTCTGTAATTTAAAAACTCAGATATATTTTTCTCAGGTGTCTCTGGTCCTCGTGTGGTGCATTAGGGTCTCAGCTCCTCTAATTCATCGGCTTACCAACACTGAACATTTGGAGCTGCAGCAGAGGTGGAACAAACACTCTCTGGGGAAATCATTGTCTCAGATATCTGAATTAACATCCCATAAATCACTGAAATTACAGACACACAAAAGAAAACAGGTGTGGGATACAGACGAGTGGTTTGTCCCTCTATCACATTTTGAACACACACATATTCACATACGACGTCACAAAGCTCTCTACCTCATTTCAGATCAAACAACAGATTTACTTTATGGATGAAATCACATAATCACGCCTCTGTATCCCATGTTTGTGATCACATCAGAAGCTCCCATTTATTTTGATTTGAATGTGTACCTTTCAAAATAAAGTTTCTCTTGGAGATCATAATCTTTAAGAATTAAAAAAAGGTTCTTAACACCAGTTTATTTGTAGGACAGTGATGTTCAATAACGTGTCATCTTGGAAAGTCAATAAAACTTAAAGGTCCTTTATTATTTGTATTCTTTAAACCATGTCTTTGTCGAGCCACTAGATGGCGCTGCTCACCTGAACTGAGTTTTAGTCTCTTGTCAGTTGAATTGTTTTGGCCTCTCCCCTGTAACACAATAACAAACCAGTAGATCATTGAAAACGAAACAGCTTCTTTCTCGGAGATATCTTCTTTCATCGTTGAACATTAAACACTTTTAATGAGTTAATGTGTGTTTTCCCCTCTAAATTAATCTAGTTTTTGCAACAAACAACTTTAATCTGCTCAATTTATGCTCGCACGCGCACAGACATAAACAACGTTTCGTTCAGCAGCAAGCAGCTGTTCATTTATATTTATATTTTTAAAACGGAGCCAGGAGAAGCTTCAGTTTTGAATGTCTGAAACTTGACTCTCTCTCTCTCTGTCTCTCTCTCTCTCTGACTTCAAACATCTGTTTGTACAAATTGGAGAACATCCTTTGGCACTTCATCTATCACATTTAGAATATGCATTCCTCCTCCCTTTCACTGCATGTAACTTGTTTTTCCTGCATACTGTTTTAATTTCTTTGCACATTGAAATGTGAAGTGTGGACTGAAATGTAAAGTTCCTCTTAAGTCCGCATCAGCTGCACACTAACATTTCTTTCTTCTCTGTGAATGTGAAGAATAAAGAAGAGAAACTCACCTTCTGCACTCCGAAAGAGCACGGACCAAATGGGGCTGTTATAGAGAGGGTGAGAATAGTCTCCAAGTAAACAAGTTTGTAACTTTCGCTTTTGCACACGGCCTCAGGGTGAGGGGTGTGTCAGCATTCTGAAATGTTATCACCACAAGTACAGACATGCACACAAACACATCTTGATGTAAAGATGATCACGATGAGCAACACACACGCACGCGCACACACACGCACTGCTTATCTGCTGATATTGAGCACCTTTATCTACATTGTGCAGCTTGTAACAAATGGAAATACAAACATTATATCTATTTTTTGTTGCAAAATGAAAACTAGAACACTGACTCTATTTAATCACTTGTCTGATTACTAACTTTCAGTCTGACATGTTATTCAAAGTGGAGCCGCTGCATGAACTGAGATGAACTCATCTTAAAAACAAAACAGTTTGTGTACAGATAGCAGCAGAGGCACGTTGGAGAAACATGTGAGCCTCCTCAGTCCCTCCCTCTGTGAAGGAGAGGCCTCCTCACAGTCCCTCCCTCTGTGAAGGAGGGGCGGTCCTCCTCACAGTCCCTCTCTCTCTTTGTGAAGGAGGGGCGGTCCTCCTCACAGTCCCTCTCTCTCTTTGTGAAGGAGGGGGGTCCTCCTCACAGTCCCTCTCTCTGTGAAGGAGGGGCGGTCCTCCTCACAGTCCCTCTCTCTGTGAAGGAGGGGCGGTCCTCCTCACAGTCCCTCTCTCTGTGAAGGAGGGGCGGTCCTCCTCACAGTCCCTCTCTCTGTGAAGGAGGGGGGTCCTCCTCACAGTCCCTCTCTCTGTGAAGGAGGGGCGGTCCTCCTCACAGTCCCTCTCTCTGTGAAGGAGGGGGGTCCTCCTCACAGTCCCTCTCTCTGTGAAGGAGGGGAGGGCCTCCTCACAGTCCCTCTCTCTGTGAAGGAGGGGCGGTCCTCCTCACAGTCCCTCTCTCTGTGAAGGAGGGGCAGTCCTCCTCACAGTCCCTCTCTCTCTTTGTGAAGGAGGGGAGGGCCTCCTCACAGTCCCTCTCTCTCTGTGAAGGAGGGGAGGGACATGTGAGGGGAGGTGTTTGCTGCAGTACTCATTTACATGTATTTCTATCCAGTGGATCTGAAATAAGTCTGTGGACAGGGTTAGGTGTAAGTTTGGGCGTCCTGACTCTGTGCAGGTCCTGGAATATCTTTACTCGTTCACAACAAGAGTAAAGTTCACTGAGCCGCTTCCATCAGTAACATAAACAAACAGGTTCATTTAAAGAAGAGTGGGGTTCTATCTGCCGCTCACTGAACAAACAATTAAGATGTTTTTGTTGCTTTTAGAGTTCATGGTGAAAAATCAAATGTGTTCATTGCTGCTTTAAATGACAAATGACCATGTTTGTTCAGATTTCACAGATTTCAAAGCAGAGAAGATTTTGTTTGAAAAGTTTCCTTTTAATTACTAAATTAGTCAGTGAGCTTTTTAAACTGAAGACAGAACAAAGGAAACAGAAACATCTCTTCACATCATCACAAACATATTTACAGAATGTTCATCCAGAATCAAAGAGAGAGACGACCACTTCCTCTTCTTTCCTCATGAAGGAGTGAACATGAACGTTAATCTGAGAATCTATACACCACTCACACATTCATAAAAAACACAATCATGTAGAAAAGAGTTGAGTTAGAAAACAAAGTGATATGTAACTGAAGAAGACCGAGTCGTTTCTTCTTCATCCTGCAGGCTTCATGTGATGAGCTGAGGGAACATTTCAAAACATCTCATTATTATACTGAAATAAAAACAGTCTAAACTTTGAATTCATCTCAGGAGATGAAGTGACATGTCTGTGTAAAGGACCAATCAGTGAGATGATAAAGGTATCTTACTCTCTGATCATTAAGGAAACATGCTATGTTGAAGTTTTAGGTCGGGTACAATCACTTCTATCTGAACCACTTCTCTTGACCACTTCCATCGCTGCAACACCTGTTGACCTGATAACTGTTCTCATATCTGACAAACCGAGGGGCGTCCAAAACGGCCGTGTGCTGGGTGCCTTAAAAGCACCTACCTTCTCTGGTCCAAACAAATCCAGAGCATTCAGGAGCAGAATCTAAAGTTAGAAGGAGGACATACTGGCTGCTGCATTGTTGTCAGAGAAGCCAGCACTTCAACATAGCATGTTTCCTTAATGATCAGAGAGTAAGATACCTTTATCATCTCACTCTCTACACAGCTCACTGATTGGACCTTTAATGACAAATTAATTAACACAAATTTTATAGCAAAGACCAGTGTGTGTGTATGTGTGTGTGTGTGTGTGTGTGTGTGTGTGTGTGTGTGTGTGTGTGTGTGTGTGTGTGTGTGTGTGTGTGTGTGTGTACTCACAGACTTGACGGTCTGTTTGATGTAGTCCTTCTTGCTGGTCAGGTCGTGGTCTGGATAAGTGTCAAACACCTGAATCACAGAGGAAGGTATCGTTGTTATTCATTTATTCTGAAGCCACAGCATGGTTTATAATGTCTTCATGTCCGTGCTGTTTCATGCAGTGGTGTTTATCCCATCTCTGCCCTGCTAAAAAAATCGATAGGGCAATATATTGTGATAGGCACCTTGCAGATGTTACAGAATCTATACAGTTGCAACCCTGTGATGACACTTCTCTTACGGTGCATTTCACAATAAAGCATACTGGATCCATCGCGATGAAGAACTGAAAGCCAAGATAAACGGAAGTTGGCAAACAAACAGAAAGTTTGGGAAAAGTAAGGAAGCAGCTGGACATGAGTCATGCAAAGTGCAAGCTCTACAAAAACAAGGTTAAACACTGCACCTACACGACCAACCTGTGTGTGCACATGACAAGAAGTACTCAGCCCTAGTTGTGTGTGTGTGTGTGAGGCCTCTCACCCTCTGACAGATCTGCTTCATGGTCATCTCCTCCAGGTCGGCCTCCTTCAGCAGGCTCTGCACCGTCTCCTTCAGCTGCTCGTCGGTCGGCGCTTTCTTGATCATCTTGATGAGCGGCTCGTCGTCGTCTGAGCTGTCCTCCGCTGCAGACACACACACACACACACACACACGATGGGTGGACATTTTTGAATACATCCTATGAAGTGATGTAGGGTCTGACACTGTGAAGTATAAAACCTCTTCAGACGCAGACTCTACAGCCCTGATGAGATGTGAAGCCCTCACCTGTGTTTGTGTTGTTCTTGCTGTTGCTGCTGCTGTCGGCCTTCTTGGTTTTAGCTGCAGGTTTGGCCGGAGCCGATTTCTTCTTTTTAGGCTGGAAAAAAACAAAAACATTAAAAAAACAGCCCGGAGTCAATGTCCACCGAGGTTTAGAGTGCTCCCAACACAGGAGCAGTATGTAACTCTGACACCTAGTGGTTAAAATGGATACTGCAGTCTAAATTCTAAACATTATAGAGCACTTCCATTGTCCTTTTACTCGTGGATGTGCAGTTGTTCTGCTTCATGTTGGACAGGAAGGTGCGTGCGGTAGGAAACAGGAAATGTGCACACTACATCCTGCAGTGAGTGTGCACTTCTGGGGACAACAAACCCAGGAGGAATTCAAACCCAGGAGGAATTCAAAATAAATCAGGCTTTTTTTTGGATGAGAAATCTTACAAAGTCTGACTGCACAGAAAATAAAACAGATCTGTTTGGATCAAGATAAAAGAGCACAACAGGACTTTCACTGCTCGCCTGTGCTTTCTGTTTTTATGATATCAGACGTTCGTCGTACCTTCTCCTCGGCCTCAGATTCCGACTCGTCTGAAATTTCCTTCTTGGCTCTTTTTTTAGGAGGCCCCGCCTTCTTCGCCGGCGTCCTCTGCCTCTTCACCGGAGCCGATTTCTTTGGAGCCAATTTCCCTCGGCTCGACTTTGATTTGGGAGACTGAAACGAAAGTGAATTAGGATAAGTCGACTGCCAGCTCATAAAAACACAGACCGATGTTTGATATCCATCGATAAAGTTTCTAATTCTTTTTAAGCTAATTGACACGACGAGGGTTATCATGACATCATCATCTTAAACTTTGATTCATGACTGGTAAAGAAATCAAACGATATTGATACCCGTTTTGTTACCACGGCAACAACAACAGAAGTCACATTTAAAATGAAATAAAATGAAAAGGTTTGGTATCAAGAAGAACTGAAGAGTCACACAGTTTTGACGACCTCAATCAGACAGAGGAGACGAGGAGAACCTGGAGGTTGATATCTGGAGAATGTGACTCGTTAGTGACATCTAGTGGCAGCTGGGGGGAACTACAACATGCTGAACATCTATGTGTTGAGTAGAAAGACTTTAATATCCAAAGTGCACAAACATTCAGGAATCCATCAGCTACAAACAACTTGCAGTAAAGTAAGAGGGACGATGTTTCTGAAGAAAATATTTGGAAAATTGAAGATGGGACCGATCTGATCTGATATCGTATCAAATATCTGACTGACAGCGCCGACCTACGTAACTGATTAAGAATGATCGTTGGGCGCAGTCTCACTCTGAAGACGTTCAGACTGAACTGTCCACTAATCGTCTCCATGACGAAGTTCAGACGAGATGGAACAGCTCATACTTTATGATCAAACATTTTAACTCTTCAGTTTAAAAGATTTAATTTGAAAACCTGACATGTTGCTGCTGCTTCCTGTTTGTGTGAAGCCAGGTTTACTGCAGCTTGGTGTATCCTTACATATAACACAAACAACAACAACATCATTAGTTATAATAAAATATTGGTAAATATTTATCAGAACAAAACGGATCAGAACATTTTTTTAAAAGTGTATCATGCATGTCTAGAAATGATGTACTCTGTATTTTTATGAAGAGAGAGTGACATATCTTTAAGTGAAGGTCGTACCAACGTTGAAAATATCACTGGGATTTAAAGCTTTGAGATTTTTATCGAATAACGGAGATTGTATTTCTGTAAAACGTGAAATCAAAACAGGATCGCAGTATCAGACATTTTGAAACTCACACTTAGAAATAAATCTTACTGCAGATTAAATTAAAACAAATACTTAAGATCTCACCACCCCTCCATGACTCAAGACCACCTCAAACCCCTTTACCTCGTCCTGTCTTTATTTAGAGTATGTTGTTTTTCCCTCTGATAATGTCTCCACATCTTGACAGGAATGAGTGTCTGACACACCAAGGAGATCGTCGTCCTAGTTTTTGCGGTGTGTCTCGTAGCTACATGCCTGGATAACCTCACCTCATCATCATCATCATCGTCGTCTTCCTCCTCCTCATCCTCTTCTTCCTCTTCGTCAGCAGACTCCTCCGACTTGTCAGACCTCTCCTCCTCTTTACCCGACGGTTTGTCTTCAGCGTCCGATCCCTCGGCCTCGGCTGAAGCGCCCGCCTTCTCCTCCTCTTCCTCCTCGTCATCCTCGTCACTGCTCGAGTCCATGACGATGGCTTTGGACTTGCTTCCTGTTTTGGACTTCTTGGGACTGGACGACGAGCTGCGGGGTTTGGGTTTGCTCTTCTTCTTGGTGCTGGTGTTGGAGTCGTCGCCGGAAAGTTTCTTCTTTGATTTCCTCTTTTTCTTCACGGGCAGACGCTGCAGAAAAACAAAACGAGGAGGTCAGTTACCGTGGAAACAACACAGTCTCTTCTGATTAGACCAGACCTCTCTGACAAAAACAGAAATTCAACGCCACACACCTCTGGAGTGGCTTGTTTTCCACTTCCTCAGTTTGAGTGATGATTCAAACCATCAAACCAGAACAACTCAAACAAACCGACTGAGGCAGCAGTCAAGCCGGTAACTCCAGAGTTCTTCAAACTAAAATAACTGTTGTTGTCCAAAGAGTTTGGCAGCTCCTAGGCGAGCCGATAACGTTTGATTTCCATTTTAAAAATACATCCTACATCCTAATACAAGAGCCTGTGTCCACTGCGTTTTATTTACGACTAGCAGCTTTTTCTTTTCTCCAACTGTTCCAGACGATCATCTTTTTAACTTTCTAGAAAGACGCTGTGGACATCATCAGCGCTCTTTTCAAAATGTATGACATTCCCCTCACATGATATTTGTGTCTCTTATGGATCGTGTCGTGTACCCACATCCTCCTCGCTCCGTGTCTGACCCGAGTCCTCATTATTATTAAACTCATCATCCAAACTAAGACAGCTTAGAGCACAGTGAAGGGAAAGAAAATCTCAAATATAAAACATGCAGTAAAAACCAACGGAGCAGTGTCGGTCATACAGCGGCCGTTAACAGACTGTTGTCATGGAGACAGGACGGACGTGCAGCGCTTTTCCTCTTCATACAAGCTCTCCTCTCTCGGATAAAAATAAACTCCTTCATATATGACCAAAAAGTCTCTCTGTGGAGATCCTTTTCTGAGCTTCATCTCTGATGGACATACATTCATGGCATCGTGCCTGAAGTCTCTACGGAGAACAAAGAAACATTTAACCACACATCTTAAATACGCCCGGCGCCCTGCTCACCTTCCCGCTGTTCTTCGGTGCGATGAGAAAAGTCATGATCCTGTCCACCAGATCGGCGTGCGTTCCTTTCTTCTCCAGGTCCAAAACGCCACAGACCACCTTCAGTTTGGTGTTTGTAAAATGTGAATTCCTGCATTTACATTTTTTTTTTAAATAACACACAAAAAGAGAAAAACTTAATGAGCCTGTGAATCATTTAAATCAACACTTTTTTACAGCCGTCTTTCTGCCTGAGGACATTTTTTCCTTAATGGCACTGAGCTCAGAACGTGAACTTTTAAAGTGTCCTGTTTTAAACACACTCATTGACTGATCCATGAACAGCTTGGATCTTTTTACAGAAACATTAGAACAAGCAAGACATGAAAACAAGAAAAATCAGGAGAAAACATGAAGCCTGAAGTTAAAAAAATCTTCCTCATTAAAGGTATTACTTATTATCTTTATAAAACTTAAGTGAATGAATCTTCTCTACAGGATGAGGCCGACGTGTCTCTGCAAACAAACTCACTTGAGGAGTTTTTCTCTCTTCTTGGCGTACAGCTCGCTGTCGGCATCGAAAGGAAATCCGTTAAACAGACGCAGGCTCTTCTTCATCGTGGCCATCTGATAAAAGAACAAAAACAGAGCAAAGAGACGACCTTTGAAAACAAGAATAATAAATCTGCCTTTTTTATGATTTACAATCTAACTGCTGATGGAGAAAACGATGTGACTGTCTAAGGCCCCGTGTTCACCTGGAGCTTCTCTGAAGCAGCCTCTCGGAGGAAAAGCGCAGCGCCCAGCGTCTTTTTTTTTATGAGATAAAAATCTTTCAACTCTTCAGAAAGGCGCTGTTGATGTCCCCGACGCTCTTTTCCAAATGTTTGATATTCCCCGTATTTTGCCGCCTACAGGTCGTGTCTTATACCCACATCCAGGGGTTTTCCTGGCTCAGAATGGGCCTTTGGGGGGTGACTATACGCGTTATAGTAAAAACGTTCGACCCGTGTATTACAGTATTGTAAGAGTCTGTATTACCTTATTTGACAGAAATCTGTGCATTTCCTGTCATTGCTGTCCATTTTACAAAGAATATTATCATTATGCTTAAGTTACTGAAACCCCAATTAAATCTGGTAAAGAATTGTTTTTATTGTAACAGTGAAACAGGGGAGGAGAGGGATTTTGAGGGAGAGGGGTGTAATGAGATTGAGAGAGGGGGGGTCACATCCTGCCAGTGCATTTCTCCCTCTTCCTATGATGGCTGCTCTTCACCTTTAAATTGTGTTTTCGTTTTACATTTGTTTAAGTACATTTATTTGAGTTAAGGTATTATGTCAAACAATCACAGATTTCAGTCACAGATAATTTGGATCATTTGATCAAATCAGGAAATTGAGAAATAATAAGAATCTATTTGCTGTTTGACAGTCTGTGTGGAGAAGTTCACAGACTACAGCTGGCTGACGTTACGGTCGGTAACTTATTGATTGTTGATAAAAGCAGACACGGTGGAAGTGAACGGAGAAAAGTTGAACGTGCGTTCCCGACTCGGTCCATACGGATCGCGGATAAACCGTGTTCCTTTTCACTACAAGTCAACAGGTGTGCGCGGTGGTTGGCGTTCCGGTGTGTGTGTGCGTTTGCAGCCATGTATGTTGGTGTGTCTCGTCTCAGCGTGCCCCCGTGATGACCCGCATTGCTCTTTGAAATGAACTCGCCATACGGAAAATCAACCCTCATTTAGCGCTTGTGAGTGTCAGCGGAGCGTCATGAACCAGTCAAAAGAAACCAACAGTCAATCAGCTGGCTATCCAGCGCGAGCCACATGCGTAAACGGATGAGAGGGGAGATGACTGCTAGAAGTCAGAGACGTCGTATTTAAGTTTATGTTCTGCTTGTTCAACAGTCGTTTGATGTATTGATATTTAACATACATTCAGAGAGGATTTGTTTTGCAATTTGAATTGGCTTTTTTTTTCTTTTGGCGCTCGTGATTTTCCTTTGGTGCTGGATAAAACCTCTTTTGGGGGCGCCAAAGAATTCTCTATGCAGGAAAAACCCTGACATCGTCTTTGCACCGTGTCTGATCTAAAATATAAAACATGGCATTGTCAACAAAGTGTTGTCATAGAGACAGGACAGACGTGCAGCACTTTTCTTCGAAGGGGGGGACGGGGGTTGCTCCAGGTGAATTCTCCTGATTATATCCTGCTGTGTTCTCACATCAGCTCACTCTGACTTTCTGCAGAACAAATATGAGGAGGCTGGAGGAGAAACATTCAGATGTTTGTTTTCATCTATATTATAATAATATTTCAGTCTCTATGTTTGTACCTTCCCCGGTCTGTCGAACAGGATGACGTGCAGAGGTTTCAGGTCAGCTGGCTTCATCTTTGTGATCTGGTAACCAGTGCGTGGAATGTCTCCTAATTTATCTCCGCTACCTAAAAAGACAAGCAGACGTTTTTATAAAAGGTCATACACACACACACCTGGATAGTTAGACAAATATTCATGTCTCACAAAGTTAAAAAGTTTACCGTCTCCAAACTTCAGCTTCTCCTTTTGCTTTGGTGCCTGGAAATCGAGCCTCTCGACCGTCTTCTTCGCTCGCTTGCCTTCGAGGATTTCCCCCACAGCTGCACCAACAGAGTGAAAGAAGACAGTTAACTTAACTTTACGGGTTCTTACTGTGAACAACTGAACCACAATTTACACATTGCCTGTGCACACTACGTTCTGTCAGCAGCGCGGTTATCCTCCGTCATACGGTGAGCACCCTGCCCGCTTGGGTCCATTTCTGGAGCGCAACAATGATCAGCTGTACACACATCACAGGAGAACTTCAAGATCACGCGGGAATAAAGAGAAAAACATGTTGCTTTGTCTTTGTGAGGATGATTTGTTGTTAATTCTGTTTTGACGTCATGTTGATAAAGTGATGGAAATTGACCGGACGCTCTGTGCGTTTCCTTGTCTGACTTCCTGCCGTGTTAGTTCTATTGTGTTCAGCTTAAAGTGTGCTTGCAGCGAGCGCCGTCAAAAATAGATGTCACAGCGTATTTGAAACGGAGACCACTGGACATGCCGCCACGCTATGGAGACGGGCCGTGGCGTTTGATGTGGAAACAGGAGCATTGACTAGAGTAGCAGTGGACAACGCTGACGGACCGCGGCGCAGACGGACTATGTGGAAACTGGCAGTAAGCAGAGTCTGAACAGTGAAAATGAATTCTGCTCTCTCAATGAGAGAAGACAAATGAATGCTCAGTCTGTTTTAATGCTTTGTAGTAAGAGCCACAAGTATTCTTTATAAACTGTATCATCAAAGATTTAACCAGTGACAGTCAGCTGTTTGAAAGACAAGAAACACAGGGGCATATTATTACATATCAGGTGGACCCACCACACTATCAGAGGGTGATGTTATTACAGGACCGGACTGGAGACAGTAAACCTTTTCTGTACCTGATATTTTGGAGCTGCTCTTTTTCGGACTCGACTTGTCTTCCTGGCGGTCCTCCACTTCTTCCTCCGACACCGCAGAGCTGTCCATCGTTTCCTCCGCCACCTCGCTCATAGTCTCACTACTGTCTCAGTCTGCCGGAGAATCTTTTAATCCTAACAGGAGAGAAACATGTTCAGATCAGACTTAACTCCTCAGGTGGGTCAGATCAGTAAAGTTACCTGACGTTATAAAGAATATAAATGCACTAGTCGAGAGTTGTCAGATTGAGGCTGCTGCACAGGGAGCGTGCCAGAGATGTTTGATGCCTTGCATAAAGGTAACCTGGGAAGTACTGGGGAAGTGACCCGGCACCTCCTCCATCCACCAGACAAACTTATATTTTGGTCAGCACCGGTTCAAAACCCAAGTCCCTCCAGACCGAGCTACTGCCGTCCTAAATGTGAATTAGTGCTGCAGGATATTGGAAAAAGCTGATATCTACTGATAGATAAAAATAATACAGAAACACTGTGTGGAAACATGGCCATTATACCTGGGCCTCCAACAAACAGGGAATCATGTTACATGTCATATATACACCTGTGTCGATTTAATGGACAGATTCAGAAAAGTTTTACCAGGAAGGAGCCTTTAATAATAAAAACAGCAGTTGTGTTAAGTTGTACTTTCTGCTCCGGCTGAAGCGGTGTTGTGTTTTGTGTGTGTGTGTGTTTTGAGTGTGTTGTGTGTGTTGTGTGTGTGTTTTGAGTGTGTGTTTTGAGTGTTTGTTTTGTGTGTATGTTTTGTGTGTGTGTTTTTGTGTGTGTATGTTTTGTGTGTGTGTTTTGAGTGTGTGAGTGTGTGTGTTTTGTGTGTGTGTTTTGAGTGTGTGTGTGTGTGTTTTGTTGTGTTTTGAGTGTGTGTGGTGTGTTTGTGTGTTGTGTGTGTTTGTGTGTTTGTGTGTGAGTGTGAGTGTTTTGTGTGTGTTTGAGTGTGAGTGTTTTGTGTGTGTTTTGTTGTCTGTGTTTTGAGTGTTGTGTGTGTGTGTTTTGAGTGTGTGTGTTTTGTGTGTGAGTGTGGAGTGTTTTGTGTGTGTTTTGAGTGTGAGTGTTTTGTGTGTGTGTTTTGTGTGTCTGTGTTTTGAGTGTTGTGTGTGTGTGTTTTGAGTGTGTGTGTGTTGTGTGTGTGTTTTGAGTGTGAGTTTTATGTGTGTTTTGTGTGTGTTTTGAGTGTGAGTGTGAGTGTTGTGTGTGTTTTGAGTGTGAGTTTTGTGTGTGTGTTTTGTGTGTGTGTGTTTTGAGTGTGTGTGTGTGTGTTTGAGTGTGTGTGTGTTTGAGTGTGTGTGTGTTTTGAGTGTGTGTGTGTTTTGAGTGCGTTTTGAGTGTGTGTGTTTTATGTGTGTTTTGTGTGTGTTTTATGTTTGTGTGTGTTTTGAGTGTGAGTGTGTGTGTTTTGTGTGTGTTTTATGTTTTGAGTGTGTGTGTGTTGTGTGTGTGTTTGAGTGTGTGTGTGTTGTGTGTGTTGAGTGTGTTATGTGTGTGTGTGTGTGTGTGTGTTGAGTGTGTGTGTGTGTGTGTGTGTGTGTGTGTGTCTTTAATCCTTCAGATGAAACGACGCTGCGGATTGGCGCGCTGTAACTTCACGTCACAGATTTCAAACGTTAGCTTGTTTATCTTGTTAACTCTCCTTTAGGAAACCATTTCTACATCCTCTCCTGAGACACACAGCTGTTCGTTTGTGAACAAACTTGATCGAACATGTTGAAGATGAATTTAAGAAGAGAAACAAACAAGAGTAACAAACAAGAGTAACAAACAAGAGTAACAAACCGTTACCGTCTGAGTCCGTCGGCTAGCAGCAGAATGCTAACACGGATGCTAACTATCATAACGTCCCAGAGAATTAACATTAAAACATCTTTTATAACACAAAGAAGCGGCGCAACACAATCCACATACATACCGTCTGATATCCACACAGTTTCTGTCTGAGGTTAGGACAGTAAAGTTTACCTGTTCAGGAAGCAGCGACCTGCGTCTCATCTGTCAGTTTTTTGTTTTTAATTTCATGATGGCGGTTTCTCTGCGGGGCGGGGCTTGTTCTGCAGCTACTCCTCTGATTGGACAAATTACCGATGACGCTGCCTTTCTCTTGTTCGTTAGTGGATCGAGGGACTGTAGTGATAATTACTGCCCCCTTGTGTCAACACTAGCGGCACGACAGTCTGACAGACGGACAGGAATGGATTTGCACATTTGGGCGTCAGAAAACAAATAATACAAACAATTAAATAATATTATTAATAATAATAATAGTAGTAATAATTAGTAGTAATAATAATAACAATTATAATAATATAAAATCCAGTTCTGGTTACTTTATTCCTGTTGTTTCTTATCCATCACTGCACTACGGTCACTTTATTTATCAAATTTTTACCTTTACAGTTATATTGTTATATTAGTTCTGTTGTTCCATTATTCACCATGCACCTTATTAACTTATCATTTAGTATTTGCCTACTTGCACATAGCTCTGTATATATATATTTATTTCTTGTTTACTGCACATAGTTCTGTTTACATCTGTTAGTCCGATCACTGTCCACTTATATCTACTCTTTTATATTTTGTATTTTAAGTTAAGTTTAAGCTTTAAGTTGTATTTAAATTGACACTTTATATTTAGGGTTAACATGTTTCGTCTACTTGCACTGTTGTTAATTTATTGCTCTGTGTGCCTTTGAATTGCCCTCCAGGGACAAATAAAGTTTTTTGAATTGAATTGAATTGAATACTAAGACTAATACTACATCTACTACTACTAATAATAATACTAACGAAAAAAAAATTGGGGCCGCAGAAGCTCAGTTTGTAGGAACTGGAGGGCTACGTATTCAAGTCTGGAGATTGGTCTGGTAGCTGGAGAGGGGCCAGTTCACTTCCTGAGAACTTCTGAGGTGTCCTTGAGCAAGGCATCAAACCCCCAACTGCTCGGGCGCTGTTTCAAGTGCAGCCCTCTCTCTCTCTGACGTCTCTCTATAGGAATAATAGAGTGTAAAATAAATAATTTTGTGCACCCCTACACCTCCCCAACATAGCCCGTCTTTGTAGAATCATCATCCATCAATTCTTCACCCATCAGGTCTCATCAAGTCAACAGCTTCACCACCACCAGGGTCTGGACCCAATGAGGAGGATTTATCCTGTCGACGCTCAGAATTGTTATCTCCAAACACTTCAACCACCCGATAGTCCAAGCGCCAAATTAGTTCTGTCAAGTCACAATTCCATGTTATTCATTGAAATGAATAAGTTTCTGAATTCACTTGTCTCTCCTGATGGAAATGGACATATATGCAAATAATGAAAAGCAAATAAACATTATTGCAAAGTGCAAACACATTTAAATCTGAGGCTTTGAATCTACAGATCCAAACAAACTGCAAATGTAGGCTGTAAAACAGCAAAGTGTTGTTTGAGTTGCAGATCATTTTAAAAAAACAAACACTGATTGTGCATATTTAATTGGATTGAATGGAATTTATTTTTTGAATAGGGACAATGCAATTTAACATAGTTTCAAAACAAAATATGAAACTAATGCGCTGCACAGAGAGTGTGAGCCTGTGAGCTCAACCTTTGTTTGTCCTCGTTCACTGCAACATCACTGTGAAAAAGAAGAAGATGCTTCTGCATGCATGTTTGAGTGTAACGTGTGGAATAAATGATGTAACTGGGACACAGAGAAACAACAAACTAACTTCGGCTTGTTAGTGCTCGGGTGTCAAACACTGGAATCTGACTAAAGGCGTTTGTAAAATTCTTGTTGCATTTTGAACATTTTTTTGTGTCCCATAAGACGACGTTTCCAAACTGTCCACCTCCTTTCAGCTCACTCCGTCTCTCACGTTCACCTCTGGTTATCAGACAGACTGCTGCAGACCTGAGCAGATGAAGGCTCAGGATTCAGACACATGTGGGAGGATAATGAGATGTGGGGCAGCAGCAGCAGCTACACCTGGATGACAGGTAGATGTCTGGATGCTGCTGTAATTGCTGCTGGAGATGTGCGGCGCGGCTCAGGTTCACCTCAGAGGTCAGCGGGCTGCGAGGACGAGTCAGGATACAGAAAAAGATCTCAGCATGTGTCGTCTCAGGAAACACAGCAGGAAACATCATTTCATGTCAGTTAATTATTGAGACTAATTTTGTTTTTCTGCAAAACCCAAATCAGTGTTGTTCTTTGTTTGAGCCACTAGATGGCAGCACTTCACTAATGAACAAGGAACATGCAGCTGTTACATCAGACAGATGTGCAAATATAAAAAACTCAAATTTATCCTTATTTTATTTTTAACCTTTTTGATTATAACAGAATGTTTGAGAGCGGTAAACTTCATATAACTAAGCGAGCAGGTTAACCACATTTTACAGCTTGCCTGTATTCCAACAAATCCAAAACTTTGAGATTTTTCATGTTTTTTTCCAGCCCCAAAATAAAAACAAAACTTTTAATGTCTTAAATCAACAGACATCAAAAGAAATACAGTGACATCACTAAAGTGGGAGTGGCCTGTCATAGCTTTCCCTCTGTCTCCGCCGCCTCCTGTGTGGCACTGATCACCCCTCATACATCCCCCTGTCTGTTTTAAAACCCGCACCGCGAACCGCATTCAGCAGACCGCCAGACAAGGCTGCACCGCACGAGCTGCTGGACCTGCTCACATACCTGCAGAAAAGTGAAACTTTGTTTACCTTGTCTGTGTCACCATGTGATCGTTTTTTTGTGACATATTGAACATGCATCTGGGATTTATCTTGAAGATGTGGAGCAGTAATGATCAAACAGAGAAGATGATGATCCTCTTCAGTTAGATCAGGTAAGATTCACCTTGTTGTAAACTCTGTTTTTCTGGAGACAGAATTTTCAGAATAAAAGATGTTTATCATGAAGTGACCTCATAGATGATGACCCAGCAGGTTCACACATACGGAGTTTTTCATAATAATAATAATAATAATAATAATGTGTGTATTTGGTTTAGCACCTTTCACAGATCGAGGTCTCAAAGTGCTTTACAGAATATTACCATAAAAATAACAACAATCAAAATCATAAAAGAACAACACAGAAGAAGAACACTTGTAAAGAATGACAACATGATAACAACCAGATTGAATGTGGTATTATTAGCCTATCAGAAAAGGTCTGAAGCAGCTTTTTAAAAACACCAATGGAAGCTGCAGGTCTGTGAGGAGGCAGTGGTGATTCAAGAGTCAGATGGGGCCCAAAGTAAAATTCACTGACTGGGGGCCCCTCCAACTAACATTTATCACCATTAAAAAATAATATGACACCAACAGCAAAAATGTAAGTCTTCACAGGAATATTGGAACGCTTAGCGGTGCAACGACATTGAGAACTGTCCCCCTAATAGGGAGGTTTTCATGTCATTGTAAAATTTGCACATCCTGAGCCACTGCTTCATATGCTTTAAAGCAGGGGAGGGCAACTGGCGGCCCCTCAATGTGGCCCTCAGGTCAATTTCTACATATCAATTACTTGGAAACATGAAGAAAACATGATGAAATCTGCCATGAAATCATAAAAAACAGATATATTTCCATAATAATATTTGATCACCGGTATATGTTGAGTTAAATTTGAGACATAATTGATTTTAATCATTTTTGTATCCTACAATTTGGCCCCCTGGCAGTGAGAATTAAATGAATGTGGCTCTTGCTGTGACCAAAGTTGCCCATCCCTGATTTAAAGTTTGTCAGTCTGACACTAAATGAGACACCGTACAAAACCAGAACGATCAGTAGGAGGAAAAACTGCAAAGGAAACAGAGAAACGTCTTCAGGAATCTTCAGAAAAGATTCATGGAGGATGATTAGAGGAACATATTTCATATTAAGTTTATTACAGTCACATAAACTAATAAATCATTCATGCATATTCAAACCTCCTCCAGCGCTGACCTTTCATATGCAGAATGTCACATGAATAAAATGTATTTATTCAACATATAAGCTCCATTCTGTGTGTCAGAGAGTTTTAAAAAGTAAACCAAGCTTATAGGTTAAAAAAGAGATTCTGATGATCGCATCCGTAAAAGAAAGGAGGAACTGTGCAAGAAAACTTTGATGAAACGCAACAAAAGAACGGAAAATGTTTTTAAAATGCTTGACCTATGAAAAGGCGCACAGAGATTTAAAACTCTCTCCTCCAGGTCTACACTCCCTCCCCCCCACTACGCTCGTCCAACCTTCACAACAGGGTCCTAAGACGCTGACTAGACTCTTCTCCTCTGTCGCCCCCCGGTGGTGGAACGAACTACCAAACTCCATTCAATCTGCAGAGTCCCTCTGCACCTTCAAGGAAAAGCTAATGAATACCTACGACCTTAAAGATGATGATGAATATGATTTTTAAGATGGTTTTGATGCTGATTAGAACTCTAAAGAACAGCTGTCGATGTTGAGCTCTGCCTCTGGTCACTTCCTGTCAGCACCTCTGGTCACTTCCTGTCAGCACCTCTGGTCACTTCCTGTCAGCACCTATGTGTCTGATCAGACTTATATCTGTTTGTTTGCACTTCCTGACGTTGTCTCCTCCTCTCTAGATCCTTGCTTGTGTTGTTCTTACTCTCTGATGTACGTCGCTTTGGATAAAAGTGTCTGCTAAGTGAATTGTAGATTTAGTTTCAGATTTCATGGAGAGAGAGGGTGAACTGGTGGGGGAAATTATGATGTGTAGTCCTGCTGTTCACACTTATTTCCCCTGTTACCCTGATTCAACACTTTGCAAGTTTTTTCCTTGAGATTTTACGTCTCCTTTTAAAGCACTGTAGGGACTCTGAGTCCCAAGTCCAATTTGAGTTTAGTTATGGTCAGAGTCATGGCGCTCCATCAGGTCCTGAGGGACGTACTGTATCCTATCGTCTCCTTAGAGACCGCCTCCTACATGCTCCAACAGCTTCATCAGCTGCAGAGTCAGTGGAGCCTCAGAGCTCGACGAGGGAATCCAGATTCAACCAAAATCACTTAAAGCTAACAAGCCAGACATGGTGAGCACAGACACAACATTTTGAATGATCTGGTTGGTGGAGCTCAGACTTGTTGGAGGGTCTGTTAGTTTAATAAACATCACAGAGAGATTATTAGTCTGATATTTACAGGAACAAATCTCCAAAAGGCTCCAACAGCACAAACACGGCCCAGAGGTCAAAGGTCAGGGACTGAATTAGCTGAGGGGACACCTAGCAGACAGCTAGCAGCTCCCTCCTGTCACCCAAAGAGGCCACGCCCCCTAATTCTACTTCCCTTTACACTTTAATAAAATGTAAACAGGTGAGTTGTATAAACATTCAGCCCGAACAGTTGAAGAGAGAAATGAACTCTAGAGACCCAAAGTGTTTTTGTACCAGGATGTACAAACTAATGGAGACTGACTCACTGCAGGAGACGGACTCTAGTGGACACTGGAGGAACTGCAGCTGTAAAGTTAGACATTTTAACATGGGGCTCTATGGGGACTGACTCACTGCAGGAGACAGACTCTAGTGGACACTGGAGGAACTGCAGCTGTAAAGTTAGACATTTTAACATGGGGCTCTATGGGGACTGACTCACTGCAGGAGACAGACTCTAGTGGACACTGGAGGAACTGCAGCTTTATGCATTTGGCTTTATTTCCCAGCTCTGGAGATTGCTGCTCTGCTACGCAAGATGCATTTCACACCATGTTTATAGTTTCACACTTTTTTTGACTTCTCACCCTCAGATACTCCCTCCTCCATCCTCCACCATGAGCCTCCCCTCCAGCTCGCTTGAAGGGGCGGAGTTCTACAGCCGCAGCACCTCCCCGGTGTCTCTGGACTCCAGCGTTTTCTTCAGCGAGACGACGGCGTCCTGCGTCACCGACTTCTTCATCGTCAACGTCGGAGGGAGTCGCTACGAGCTGTCTCAGGAGCTGCTGGCATCCTTCCCGGAGACTCGACTCGGGAAACTGGCGTGCTGCAGCCGAGACTCGGCGCTGGAGCTGTGTGACGACGCCGACCTGCTGGAGAACGAGTTCTTCTTCGACCGAAGCTCTCAGACCTTCCAGTAGGTGGTGCTGTTTACTCTTCACTGAGGCATGCACGATGTCCTGTTGTAATAATTCCAAATTTTTTCACAATATCCAATTATGGAAAAGAACCATGTGCACCATGTTCTTTAGTTTTAACAGATTAACTTCAAAACATCTGAATGCAAATCAACGGATATATTTGTCTATATTTAGAATCTGTGAAGAAACAGCTGGACCCCTCTGAACAGTGTTGAGTTAAAGCTCATTGAAAGACATGTTCTTAAAACCTCTTCATCTGTGTTTGTTTGCTCTTGCCTGCAGGTATGTGATGAACTACTACCGGACGGGTCACCTGCACGTGATGGAGGAGCTGTGCGAGGTCTCCTTCCTGCAGGAGATCGAGTACTGGGGCATCGACGAGCTCCGCATCAAGTCCTGCTGCCGCGACCGTTACTACCGCCGCAAGGAGCAGAAGGAGTCGCTCGACGCACGGCGAGAGCTTGAGGCCGAGGACGTCGACGACGAGGACTTTGTCGGCGCCGCCTGCCCGGCTCTCCGGCGGCGCCTTTGGGACCTGCTGGAAAAACCGGAGTCATCCCGAGCCGCTCGCACCTTCGGCTCGCTCTCGATGTTCTTCGTGGTCGTGTCCGTCGTCAACATGGTGCTGATCTCGCTCGACCTGGAGGAGGACGTGGGTTTGAGCGGCGCCGCTGCCCCGCTGCTGTTCGACGCTTTGGAGTATGTGTGCGTGCTGTGGTTCACCGGCGAGCTGGCGCTGCGGTTCCTCTGCGTGAGGGACAAGTGGCGCTTCAGTCGGAGCATTCCCAACGTGATCGACCTGCTCGCCATCCTGCCGTTCTACGTGACGCTGGCGGTGGAGAACCTTCACGGGGGGAGCACGGAGCTGGAGAACGTGGGCCGCGTGGTGCAGGTGCTCCGCCTGCTGAGGTCGCTCCGCATGCTGAAGCTGGGACGACACTCCACAGGTAAATAAATCCTCTGTAGCTCGACCTTTAGGGACGGTGAGAGGTAACGACACCGCGTGTTTATCGTTCTGTTTTGGATGTTTTGCATGATTGGAATAACTCGGTTTCACTGAGGAAAGTGTTTAAATATTTAAAATATTTTAATTGCAAGTAATTTTTTTTTCTTCGGTGAGATTATATCTCTCTCAAAGTCTTATTTTTTGTTTGC